TTTTGCAGACGTAAAGTTATAAGTCCGGATTAAATAATAGGGTATTTTTTATCATGGAAAAATTTGATATTCCCGAGGGAAAACAAAAGTATTGGTATAGATGGCGCTGTGTGTATTGGTATATGTCACATAGGCTATTAATTTTTATCCTTTTGTGACGCGAGCGAAGCCGCGAGTAAATTTAAGATAAATATCAGCATGCCTTATAAACCACAAGAGGATATGTAGACTAAAAATCCTCTCCTAAAGGTATGTGAGGATGTATGTGTATGTTACTCTTTTGCGTCATAGCGGACGAACGGATCGAGATGATATTTAGAACAGGGGTAGAATATAGTCTGGATAACATAGCAAACTTTATAATATATAAGCCGGTAAACGAACAGACGTATCACCTGATGGTAATAGGCGTGGCCCATGGACACCTGGAACATCAGAGGCGTTACAAGTGCATTACCGGCCTTGTGGGGATGAGGAATTTGAGGATTGTTGGGTATTCAGGGATTGGGGGAAGGGGGAGGGGAATACTTTGGCATTCGTTAACGTCACTCACACGACGAAACACAATGCTATCGTTGTTTCACGTCGGGTTCCTGTGAGGCCGTGGTATCACTCTGGTCGAGCCGACACATTCGTGCAGAAGCATGGCTCTCCCATACTTGAACTTATTAAGTTGGCTTGTAAAGGATAATACATTCCAGATTTTTATCATAGTTCGTGATTCGTATCACATCACATCGTATAATAATATCACGGGGCGAAAGTGTAGCGATTATTCTGTCGCTCTGAACAATGAGGTTACATCACATTTAAGTGACACTTTGATATGTCGTGACTTTGCTTGTCCGTCTATCTGTTGACTTTTGTTTATTGAACGTGGAAATTATACTTATGTATGGAGAAGAAAACACCTCATTATGGCTATTTTCTGAGCCGCAGAGGAATTAACAGGTTGCCGGGGCTCCGGCTCGACGTGCAGGAGAAGGAACGGGTTTTTAGTCAGTAAGAGTCTGACACTCCCTCTCGCCTCACCCAGGCGGGAGCAGTCATTCGATGATAATTATTATTATTAATTAAGAAGGGACAGATTATTATTAATTTTGTATTTGTTGACGATTTAAAAGCACCAAATTATGGTTTAATTGTAATAAACGCTTTGACTTTGACTTTGAATGTCGTAAACATACACAACACTTCATATAAATTCTCCGTCAAATTTTATACACGTCACCAAAACTCTGTGTGAGGTCTGCATTATAAGCACTCCATACTTCATACTTCATACCCGCGACTGCACCATCAATGCACTTCCGATATCCTTAACCGATTCGTGACATCCTCAAAGTGCGAGAGAGACAACAATACAGGATATGTATTACGTAATGAGAGTGAAAGAGAAAGCGAACTGTCAACGTTTGACGGAACAAAAGGCGATTTTATGTAACGTGACATTTTAGGAGTGAAGAGCTTTCTGATGTGTTCGAAGAAGTTCAAAATATACCTACTATAGACGTTAAGTTACGCTTGGTGTTCATCAAAGGGATAAGCAGAATTGAAATTTATGTGTGACCAGTTTTCGCAGATACTTGTTCTAATAAGCAGCGAATTTTTCGCAAAATGTGTAGAGCATAGAACTTATATTATTACTGTGATCAATAATTGTACTTCATCATTGACCGAGTGACCGCAAGCGCGCTTGCCAGGTAAGAGGTTTCGGAGTCGATTCCCGGGTCGGGAAAAGTGTATTACTAGGTTTAAAAAATCGAAGTAATAGCACGGAGTCTGGAATCGTGCTCGGTATATGTCAATACGCTCACCCACTATTACATGGGACTCATAACATAAATAGTGAAAAGTGGATGTGCGATTGTACAGTGGTATTAAGTGCCTTAATATGCACCTCTGCCTACCCCTTCAGAAATAAAAGGCGTGGTGTTATGTTATTATGTCAATAATTCTTTATTCGAATCTCTGATACTTTCATTAAATTGCCAAAGAATTTTTCTCCAAGACAGTATTTTTGATTTTATTATCTGTCTAATTGCCTTAACTATGTAACTCCGAGTCCACCACTAGGGAAATAACTTTTCTTTATCGGAGTCTTCTCTGTGAGCATTATTCACCACGATAGATTTTAGACGTTAAATTAATCCCAGTTACCTTCGCATTTTTCTTCAGGGAGAATTAAATAAAGTAGGAAAAGACACTTAATTAGACAATAGAGGTGAAACCGCAGTAAAAAGTATGTAATAGTGGACAAAGTTCATTGATATTGAAGGCCTAATAAGCTAAGTATTAATCCCTAAGTAGGGAAGCCCTGTGGTGACACGCCACGGCTCTTAGCGATACTCCTGAAACCTTTCTACAACCTATTTTCGTTTGAATTTCCACCTTATTTAAAAGCTGATTGGATATAAATTGTAATTGGCAATAACATGTCTCCAAAACTAACCGTTGGCTGGTTTCAAATTTATATTTCGAATTAAAAATTAAACGGTTGTCATTCTTGTTCGATGTCTTCGTTTTTATTGGATTTTATACTCTTTCTCGAGGGGAATCGAGTTGAAATTCCAATTGACAATAATTTCCTTACAAATACATTTTATTGGTCAAATATGTTCGTCAATTATTTGAAGTTTACGTTTAAATAAAGAACAATGTCGTTGTAGTTCTTATGTCAAATGATAAGCTTCGATGAACTAGGCTAATTGATCTAGTTACTTTAAATAATGGACGTATCATTAAAGATAAGTTAATAAGTATACCTTTTATACAGTGTCTGTCGTTTTATTCCCAAATGAACAGACAGAATAATAAAATTAGTGTACCGTGCAAATCTAATACTGATTCACATTAAATTAAGAGTTGTTGTCGTGAGAAAATGCGCATGGCTGTACAACATACACACAGTCGCAGGTCCTATGTAACAAATTCTTTGTAAAATGACAGAGACAGCACGATATTTAAGTACAACTTAAAATTTTCCTTATATGGACATATGTATGCTTTTACCCGCGGCTTCGCTCGCGTCACAAAAGAATAAAAAGTAGCCTATGTGACATATACCAAAGCACACAGCGCCATCTATACCAATACTTTTGTTTTTCCTCGGGAATATCAATTTTTTCCGGGTTAAAAAGTACCATATTATTTAATCCGGACTTCTAACTTTACGTCTGCATAAATTCAAAGCAATCGGTTAAGTAGTTACGGCGTGACGGTGGAACAAACAAACAAACTCACTTTCAGATGTATAATATTATATATATAGTAAGGATTAGACTGCCTCGTTGGCCGAGTGATCACAAGTTTTAAAAACTCAGTAGCACTTTGCCCGCCCCGGGAATCGATCCCGTGACCCTTGCCCAGCAGTTGCACTTGCGTCCACTCGTTCAACGAGGCAGTCACATGTTATAAATAGCTAGTTTAAATACATAATTATTATTTATAATGTCGTAATGAAACGAATGCATTCTCTCCAAATGTTCTAGTCTAGGTAATTACAATGTTAATGCATGATAAATCTAGATCTTACTTAATTACTTGAAATGTGAAACTTCCGCGTTATATAATAATTATAAGAAGTGAAAAATTAGAATGTTCTTATTATGTTACTGTCATAATATAAACATTCAGTTTGTTGCTTACAAAAAAGTAATTGTATTTGCTTTAGAATTATTTTGTAAGGAACTTAACTTTGTACCCTACTGTATATACCAAACTATAGTTCCACGTTCAGGGTCTTTCCTAGTTTTCAAATGATATGTGACTATGTTCTTTAATAATTTCACCGACCTAGGAATTGCTATAATTACTACAAACTCTATTTTTTCATGATTTTCTCTGAATTATTATACTTTGAACTTAATACATGTTTTAACACATTACGACTACTGTAAGTACATATAACAAGTATAGTAAAAAATAGGAATTAATTAATATAATCATCAATTAAATTTTAAGTGTGGCTGAGCCATGCTTCGGCACGAACGGGCCGACGGAGTGCTACCACGGCCTCGCCGTCTTGAAGACCGACGTGAAGCAACGCTTGCGTTGTGTTTCATCGTGTGAGTGAGGTTACCGGAGGCCCAATTAACCCCCCCCCCATCCCTTCCCCAATCCCTGAATCCCCAACAATCCAAAAATTCCTAATTCCAAAAGGCCGGTAATGCACTTGTAATGCCTCGGGTGTTCCAAGTGTGCAATGGCGAAGCCAATTGCTTACCATCAGGTGATCCGTCTGATCGTTTACCGGCTTATCCCATAAAAAATTGACAACTATGTTGATCAATTAGTTCGAACCAGATTAGCTCTCAATCTATTTACAAAGGTACGCGTGTTCGATGCTACGCTGTGGCAATCCTTGGCTAGTGTTTACAACGACTAATTGTTTCACTGCCAAGTTCTGGTCGTGATTGTGTCAACAATGCTTACTTCTGGTAGGAAGCCAGTTTGAGAAATGAGCTAAGCAGTGGTGTAGGTACAAAAGTGCAATATTCGACTTTATGTTAAAATAGTAAAGTTGAAAGTCGATTAACCATTTGAGTACCGTCATTATAGACACAATTAAACTGTCAAACACCAAGCGGTCACCGGTGACCGCGACCTATTGTTCTTTAATTGTGTCTATAAAACCGGTACTCGACGAGTTAAAGAACAATAGGTTGCGGTCGCCGGTGTCCTCGCGGTTTAAATAAAGAAGTTTGACGGAAAGGTGTAGGTCCTTTGCTTTTTTACTTTAATCTGCTGGCTAGGAAACGTGCAGTCACTTATGTACTTTCGTCAATTATATTGATCTCGTTACTCATAATTACGGCCCAAAACCGGAATTCTTTATAAGTAATTGGTACTGATATAAAAATCCTATACCTTATTTCGATTTTAGGCTAATAATATTATAATACAACTAAAATATCATACTATTAATACTAAAAATGTGTTTTTAGTTCGGATATTTGTTCGTCAATCACGCTAAAACTACTGAAACTGAACTTAGGAATCTACACCTCGGAATGAGCAACTAGCATCACTTCTAAATTTTTGTTGTTGACGTTCAAAAGTGCCTTCCTTGTCTAATTGAAATTAATGATTTTGACTTTGACTTTGAACGGATTTTGATGAAATTTGGGATACAGGCTGAATTAGGTGACAGGATACTTTTTATCCCGATTAAATGCTCCCATGAAACAACACAGGAATACGCGAGCAAAGCCGAGGTTAAAAATCTAGTACCTAATATATCTACTTCCTCAAGCCTCAGCCATAACTCTGGCATAAACCAATAACAATTTCCATTGAATACAATACTTCAGTGGTTTTCTATAATACACTCTAGAATATTGTCATATTAGCTGATGACGCACATCATATGCATCATAGTAAGCTCCTATCAAATCTGATATAATGTAATCGGAACAAATCTCTTTGAAACACAAAACTCTTTTTTCTTCTCTTTTATCTTTTGCCACTTATTTTAAGTTCCTGCTAATCATTTGCTTAAGATTTATAGATACTCAATACTAAAACCACTTTACATACATAACATGGGTATATTTATCTTAAACATTTTCCAAATTCCTCATAAATATCTATCTAAACGTAAAAACGAAATCGCCGCGAAATAAAAAGAAAAATTCTGCCAAGAAAACGTATAGAACACAATTATTAACACAACAATATGCGCATTTTCTTTTAACAAAATCTTCACTAACCTGGAAGTGTAGAATGATGGTCCATATCAGTCCGAGAGTCAGCTTGGGGTTGCCATCGACGATGTCCTCAGCTCTGATGTTGACGAGCTTGATCTTCTTGTACCGAAGGAAATCGAGAGCCATTTGGACGTTCTGCAGCATATGGAAACGCATCCGACCTCGCTCGCGCGGCTGGAAAATTAGAAAGAGTATTATGAGATTTTAGTTACAACATTGCACGAGGATTATGTATCTCATATGATCGTTATGTAAGAGTGGTTAAACGTCCCTCTAAGGACGGAGGAGGTGAGAGGGAGTGTCAGACTCTTGCTGTAAAAGCCCCGGCAACCCGTTAAGTGCTCTGTGACTCCGTATCGGCGGCATCAGCCCTATTGAGTCCCATCTGTGGTGGTCTTTGAGGCGTCATGGCTCTTTAAGGCGCTAATCATTATCATTAGCATCATCAATAACATAATTATTCATTGTGATTCTTACTGATAGTATGAAGTCAAAAAAGATCTAATGTTTAGCTAATTATGTTACCTCCTTAAGAAGGGTATTAACACGCTTACCTTTTCGGGCAAATGTAGTACTAAAATTGTGTTATCCAAACATAAACCCTCTCCACAACCAATACTAACTGAAAGTAGGTTTACTACATACGCCCTACCTTTTTCGGAAGTCGCGGAGAACCTAACGGGTAACCGGGGCTCCGGCTCAACGTGCGGGAGAAGGAACGGGGTGGTTTTTAGTCAGTGAGAGTCTGACACTCCCTCCCGCCTCACCCAGGCGGGAGCAGTCATTCGATGATTTTCCCCTCTTAAAAAAACCCTTTTCAGAAAACTATTTATTACGTTAATAATAATAGGTAGTCAGGAGCCAACTAAGACAGCACTTATGTGCAAGAGTATCTACTGCATGACTTCAGTAATTTATAATAGGATACCTAAGCGTTGGAAAGAGCTTCCGCTATCTTTATTATTATATATGGCTGTACCTGTATTTCCATGTCACTTGTAACTAATACCCATATTTGCAAAATAAAAGTATATTTCTCTGTAATTAAAGTTTCCATGACATGCCCATCTTTTTAACTTTCATACTCATAAATTTCAATTTATCTACAATTATCTGGAACCCTATTTCAACCCATCGATCCACCATTAACCCAGAAAGGGGTTTAGGAAAAGAGGTTATCTAGATCTATGGAAATTAATCAGGCCGATCGCAGGTGTGGCCAGGCTAAACGATTGACAAATTGTAATAAATTGCTGCCCTGCCCTGTTAACAAATTGTAATACCGTAGTGATTTATGCGATGCTGCTGATGTATCGTTTGAAATACTTCAATTTATTTAAGGGTGCTATGACGATAGAAAACTAATGAAAGTGAATTGTCGTGTCGGTCACTTGTGTTCTTCATGGCATTTACCGTATAAGAGTGACAGGGAACTATAACATTTCACGATTTAGATGAAGATTTATTACATAACGTTAGGTATTTCTGTCAGATGAGTGATCTATGTAGATATCGATTCTACGCCCATATTTATAGCTTCAGTTGCAATTATATAATTTTCTTAGAAAAGTCACCCTCACAACCGAAAAATGAGATTGTTACCCAAGACATACATTAACATAACACGCCTTTTATCCCCGAAGAGGTAGGCAGAGGTGCACATTATGCCACTGTACAATGGAACATCCACTTTTCACTATTTATGATATGAGTCCCATATAATAGGGGGTGAGTCAGGAGTCTATTGCCATATACCGGGCACAATTCCAGATTCCGTGCTGCTACTGAGATTTTTTTTAAAACCTAGTAATACTTTGCCCGACCCTGGAATCGAACCCTTGCCCGGCAGTCGCACTTGCGACCACTCGGCCAGCGAGGCAGCCTAGACATTTCATCAAAAATCATTTCTATTCCACATTATAGCGCAAATGTTAAAAAGAGCAAAGATCCTTTTTTAAAATATAGCCAAAAATGAAACAGCTGACCCTGGAAAACGGACACGTGTCCGCTTATCCATATTAATAACAAAAATAAAACGGCTATAAACGTCTATGTTTACGGAAACTAACTTAAATAATGAGTGTTAATCACTTTATTCTGTAACAACACACGAACACAGCACACGCGAACGTATCGTTATTCCGAATAATCCGAATAAATTCTGTTACGGACTGTTATATACGGAGATATACGGTTCACACCCGTTTTAATAAAAGTTAAATTTAGGAAAAAAATTACGGATCAAAAAGGTAAAGTTTCACCAATTAAGTTATAGTAATTGCGGTTGTCTGCGACTGCCTCGATGGCCGAGTGGTCGCAAGTGCGACTGCCGGGCAAGGGGTCTTGGCAGTCGCACTTACGAACACTCGGCCAATGAGGCAGTATATGTATATACAAATTGGTCAGTATTTGATAAACATCCAAAACAACTCTATACTTTTAAAATGATAAATAAGCCTTTAAAATTGTAATTGCAGATAGATAACAAATTATCTTACTAATACATATTATAAAAGCAAAAGTTTGTGACTGCGTGTTTGTGTGTATGTTTGTTACACAATAACGCCAAAACGGCTATAGGGATTGGGATACAATTTAGAACAGCGATAGATTATGATCTAGAATAACACGTAAGGTACTTTTTATACCACGAGAACACGGGTGAAGCCGCGAGCAGAAGCCAGTTTAACATAACAAACAAACTTTTATTTCTAGCTAACAGCTCGATTCCGTAACACTTTCAAAGGGTCATTAAACTTTACATTACTAATGTATTCTATCAATGAATACTTAGTTAATTAACTGAGCAATCAGGACGGACCACCTGCGTAGTCTAACCATTTGCCAATTTACAATAGGAATAAGTAATGATAAGACCACTTTATATTTATGTAAGTGTTGTCGCCGTTATTGGTAGAATCCTTATTACAATTCCCCAAAGGAATAGAAAGTGATCAGGATTTAGTTCTTATAATAATTATAATAGGACTGCCTCTTTGGCTGAGTGCGACTGCCGGGCAAGGGGTCTCGGGTACGATTCCCGGGCCGGGCAAAGTATTCTCAGTAGTAGCACGGAGTCTGGAATTGTCCCCGGTATATGGCAATAGGCTCACCTCCTATTACATGTGATTCATAACATAAATAGTGAAAAGTGGGTGTTACATTGTACAGTGGTATTATGTGCACCTCTGCCTACCCCTTCGGGGATAAAAGGCGTGATGTTATGTTACGTTATGTTTATTATAGGACATAGAATTGCAATGCTGGTCTCTGTATACACCTTATCCTATAAAACCTGTATCGAGCCTGATAATTTCGAAATGAAAAACTTTAATAATATTTTTTTCAACCTATTAATCTAATTGACCCCCGACTAGTCCATAAGTTCCACGACCGTAGGCGGTTCAAACAGACACAGACCTTTTTTTATGAATTATGAGGCAAACGAGCAGACGCATCACCTGATGGTAAGCGACCAGCGCCGCCCATGTACACCCGCAACACCAGAGGAGTCGCAGGTGCGTTGCTGGCTTTTTAAAAACTAATAATCTCTTTTCTACCTCACCTTATTACTAGACTTCAGAGTTTAATAAAGAAATGTTTACTTACGAGGTGTTCGCCAGAAAGCACCTCCAGCAGCGAGATGAGGTTCAGCCCATCGCGCAGGTCCTCGAATAGATCGTTCACGTGACGGTTCACCTGGACAAACATAGGAACATTAGAAAAAGTAACAATAATATTAGGTATTAGAACAGGTGTAGTATGAACTAGATGGTGAAGAGGATGGTGACAATTTCTTCTGGAATCTACGTGCCAGCATATGAGTGTATGTGTATGAAATAGAATCAACGAAACAATGTAACCCAGATTTGTATTGTGAACAGGATTAAAAAAGAGCCTATGGAGTTTCTTGCTCGTTCTTCTCCATAGGAATCTTCACCTTGGAACGAGCAAATAGCTTCACTAGAGTACTGGCCGACAGACGGGCATTTTAAATATATCAATATTTTGTTTTGACGTACAAAAGTGCCTTCCTGGTCTAATTGAAATTAATGATTTTGACTTTGTCTTAGAGCAAGCTGTTTTAGCAGTACATTAACTCATACGTTTGTCTTTTGGTTTTGCCAGCACTACTCTAGAATCCTTTATCAAACATTAGACCTTCACAGTGCTAATGAATAAAGTTATAAATATAACTCATAGGTGCTGATGCCGATATTAGTTTTAACTGGAAAATATATTTTCTCTGAAATAAATAATTATTTTTATAATAACTATCGTGAGACATAGTAAATTAACTAAAAATCGCGGTTTACTCACGTGAATATACTGAGAAAAGCTCTACTAGATTCGACCTATAGAGGGGCTCTCATGAATAGCGTGCGGGGTCGCGGCGATGTCGCGCAGCCTACTAGTAGAGCAACTAATAGAGCTTTTCTCAATATATTCACGTAAGTAACCCTCGATTTTTAGTTAATAAATAATGACATTTAAACATTTTAACAATTCAATCACACAGCACAACAACGAAACATGAACATCGAACATGTGATGACAATAATAATGTTAATAAAAAAATCAACGAACAGCCAAAAGTTAAAAAAGCCTATCAAACAACAAACCAAAAACGAAAGAAAATCAAAGAAAAAAATAAGAAGACAAACAAGAAAATCATAATAAAGCAAAAATACTACGACGACGACGCAACAAAAAAATAGTAAAAAACAAAAGAAATGTATTAAGCTGCATGCCTAATTGAAACGAAATAAGTAACTCTATAAACTACAAGGGAAAGGCAAGATTAAAATGTCTAAAAACACCTCTGAGGGGACTAATATTTTTCTACACAATTGACTACTAATTTTGCAGTTTTATCAGCTATAATTACTTATAGCAATATTAAATTTTCGACGGTCTGAACATGTACAACTTAAATTCATATGTATTCTTCAGAAGCACACTAATCCAACTATTCGACAGTCTCCCAGTTTTATGAAGAATATATTATTCAAGAAATCAATACTGCCTTGGCTGGCTTCAACACTGTACTAAACAAAGTAGGTACTATATCAATACCAGACGACCTAGTCTAGGTTCATAAGTCATGTTAATGTTAGGTTCAAACAGTTACCAAGTTACGTTCATTGACTTGTCGATACATTTTTGGATTGTTTAATAATATAGTGCAGATAAAACTTAAACTACATATACACCCGAATACAGAAAGGCTATTCAATTTTAAATTACACTTAAATGTCGTGCCATATCTGTCATTAAAAAAAGAATTTGTAGTGACAGAACTATACTGAAGCGCGACTTAAAATTAAGCGACGTTTGAGTACTTGAACATTAGCTACTCAACAATTAGGATGACCGACAGATAGACACTGTGGATAGACAGATACAGTTGACATTCACATAAAGTTCTTAATAGATAGAAGATTCTAATTCTGACAATAAATTTTACTTTAACTATTATCATAATTTTAGACATTTCAATCCCTATTGCCTTCCCCAAAGAATTCAAAATAAAACAAACGAACAACAACTAGAAACAAATGAAGCCACAACGAACTTACTTGCTGAGGCGGACAACATGGTTGATTGTTGATCACCTCGCAGACATGAAGACGTGTGTAGGTCTGTCCGAGCAGCGTGGGGTAAAGTAACGTTAACACCTGGATGAGAATACATTTCAACACAAATCTACTACAAATATCAAAGAAGGTAATGTGACAAAATATAATTATAAATCCACGAAAAAATTAATGTATGAAAATACCACATTAGATCTTACAAAAGAGTCTCTAACCATCGGAAATAAGGTCTATAATGAAGTGAGTGGAGAGAAGACACTGGTGTCCACTCGGGGATATAGATGATTCTGATAGATTTTCCATCAATCAGAAGTTCAAGTTGAGTTTCAATGATAGTAATGTTAACCTTACAGTAAAAGTCATAATTGTGATGTTCGAGATAACATTAAAAACAGGATCATGCAAGTACTAAGAATTGAAAAAACTAATGTTGATGACGTAAGACTAAAGCTAATAAAAGATGATTCTATTGGACACAATATTAATAAATAGGAAGAGAGATTACATAATTAAAGACATGTTGTTACATAGACTACGAACAAGACAAAACAATAGGAACCCATCTAGGGTTAATATTAGAGTTCAATTTAATAATTCTTACACAGCTACAAAATGGAAGTAATTTTATGATTCTAACATGACCGTTACTACATAGTTGAAGAGGTAAACAAGTTGCGTGATTAGCTCATGTTGCACACTGAATTATTAAAGTAAATGAGCATTTTCTCAAACAAGATATATGAAAAAAGCACTTGTTTTTGTTGTTATAGGTAATTACAAAGTTTCTCTTTCAAACGTTCTTAGTATAGTGACTAACTGAAAACAGTGTTCTTTTCATTCAACAAATTCATCTATAGCTTTTTGTTTTCGTTCTAGACACGGTTGCATTGCTACCATTGAAACTGGGACAGGATGTGGATTTCAATACATTTTGTCACATTGTAATGCTAAAGAAACTTGTGTTTTATCTCACACTAATTTTAGCTTACCTGTTTACTAAACTAGATAGAAGAATAAACAAAAATGTTGTTAAAGAAAATTAGCTAAATAATATAGCTCCAAAAGACGTATGTGAATGTGTGATAACTGAAAAACAACATAAAGAATCTAAAAGACTAACTGACGAAGAACATGCAAACCAAAAGTATAAAGATGATCGATCTCTCAATGATGATTTTGTCGACACTAGACCACCAACTCTTGAACAAAGTAAACAACACTCAGGTGCTCAACTTGAGCCTTTTAAACAAACATATAATCGATTCTGACCGACAGAAAAACTTATTTTACTTGAACTTATTCTGGGTGCTTTGAATTTGACAAATATTAACATTTACAAGTACAAAAAATATATCAGAATTTTAAATTTCTTTCTCATTGCCATCTTTAGCTGTATATGTTAATTTAGAAAAACATCAATGGCTTTAGGCCTATTTTTAGCCAGCAACCACAAGTAAACCAATTTATCAAATCGTTTTTGGCTCCACAGAAATAGTTGAGTTCTTTGACTTGTATAATTTGGTAAACATAACTGTAAGAGTTGAGAGACTGGGCGATACAGTGTAAAGCTGTGTTAAGTACTATTATAGTCATACTGTCATATACCGTCTGATATTTGTTTAAGAAATTATAGCTATAATTTGCACAGTAGATGGAATAAGACAATACAACTATTGGAGCTTAAGCGAAAACAGACGGATTACCAATAGCTGTGTATACTACAGACCTTGAGATATTTCCAGTGCTGCTCCATATCCAAATGACAAGCGATGAAAAATCAAACATATAGACTTTTATATTAGTGAATATAGGTATAGATGTTGACAAAATAATTGAAGAATTATTTTATCAAGTGGATCTGCTGTCACAATTTGCTCAGGAAGTTCTTGTTTTAAGAATTGAACGGGGTCATTGTCATTACAATACGTCACGTGGTTTGTATGAGGTAACAATAAGAAGTCGTAGTATTGTTTTTATTAATGTTCATATAGAAATTATTTGTATACAATACGACATAAATCATACAGTTTTATGCTTCGTAGAAGCAAGATGAATAAGAGTTGTGTTTTAAATACACTACATTGAACATAAAGTCAAGACTTCATACTACAAATTAAGTAAAATCAATGAAGGTTTCCGAATAGAAACACTACTTACTTTGTTCTCTTCAATAGAGCTAGTAATCGGTAAACAATCATCAATGCTTTATAATGTTAAATAAACATCCCATTTTCCTTTGACTTCATGACACATTTCATCCATCATCCCCTACATGTTTTTATTGTTTTATTCGGTTAGTTTGTAAGTAGTTTACATTTTAGGTTTAAGTTTTGAATGTCTGTTTTTAATTGTTCTTTTTTATTTGTTACACAGTGCCTCATATGTTGTATTTATTTCTCCTATCGCAGAGCTACAGGAAGAAATCCAATAAGGATATGCATTACCTATGTACCATTGTTTCGTTATATTTTCTTTTCCCGTGTATTGTCTGTGTTGTCTATGTCAATAAACTAGTAAATAAATATGCTACGTACTCTTTCAAACACATTAAAGTTACATTTCCAATCGCTTTATCATTCCCTTTACTAAGTTCATCATCTGTTTCTTCAGAATCAATTATAATTAAACCTACTAAAGCCATAGTTCATTATGAATCATTAATCTAATTAATAAATTACCATCTATCAAACAAACAGACACTTCCTGTCGTATTAACGACCTAATCTGTACATTGAATAATGATCTCTATGCCTTTGTAATAAACACTTAGCTAAATGTGCTATAGTGCCCAGATCTTTATCTTAGTGTTGGATTACTAGATAAGTAATCTGTGGTGGATTTAATTTGTTATAGTGTTTAAGTTTAATAGCCTGTTGGGTTCATTTATTATGACAGTTTCCGCAGTGGCTTTGCAATGTGTTGCTGGTGTCATTCAGAACAGTTGTTTGTTCTATCCACAATTTATTTGTCCAGGTCTAGGTGTGATTTGTGACGTTATTGTGATATCGGTGTCTATCGTTCACGCACGACTGACTACGATTCAGAATAAAATTTTTGTATGTGGCCCAAATGCTTTAGTTACTAAGAATTTCAATTTTTCTAGATAAAGCCTACATTAGATCGACCACAAGGATTGATCATTCTGTGGAGAGACGTATCACTACATAGTATAAAACATCGCAGTCGCTATCCGCCGTCTGTCTATCCCTATGTATGCTTAGATCTTTAAAACTACGCAACGGATTTTGATGCGGTTTTTTTAATAGATAGAATGATTCGTAAGGAAGGTTTATATGTATAATACATGCATATTGCACCCGTGGGTAGCCGGGGCGGGTCGCTAGTTTTTTATGAAAGATTTATTAATTACATATTGGTGTGTAAGTTTTGTGCTATTAATATCTATGCGTCTATCTATTACCGAATATCTAAAACACTCTGTCTATATTTACATACGTGTCTACTTATTCTAATTAAGTAATCAAAACCATTTGAAAAAGGTCATTATCGTATTTAGACACGTCGATATGATCGCAAGCAACCTGCCGACCAATAATTATGTACTAAAGATCAATAGAATTATTATCGCCAACGATCGGATTGGAGATATCATCTATATCGTCTATACTCTATAGATTAAGTGTAGATTAGATCTTAATTAGCTAGTTGGAGCACTATTTAGTTTGGTTTTGGCCTTAATAATGTGAACATTATTTTAGTATCCGTCATTTAAAGTTGACTACGCATTAATTTACTATTTGCCGTGTACAAATGGGAGAGTGGAACATTTGTCACCGAACTTACTGTTTCCGCTGTACCATTAAAGCCAAATAGGAAACTACGAACGATGAGGTTGAGCTATGCGTGTGGATAAAAACAGTATAAAATAAAGAATTAAAAAAATAAGGAACTATAAATTACATATCTGACGGATACCGGGCAGCACCGATCTATGATAAACTTGAACCATTACCAACTACGATGTCTAGGGTATGATAGACTAGCGTGCGGATTACGACAAATCCTCTTATACATACATATAAAGGTAGTCCATAATCCACTAGTGGATTGTCACAGACGACCTTACCAACTTTGACCTAACCCTTCACATACATACATACATAACTTCACGCCTATGCTACCATTCCTAAATACCTATTTAGCTTCATCAACAATCATCAATCTTTTCTTGCATGCTCATCGGTTAAGGATACTTTTAATTTGGCCCTTCTTTAACCCTTCACAAAAGTCACTATTGTTATTCTATCTTGAGATATGTATAACAATCGTGACTTATCAACGCATTCTACTAAATTGAATTCATACTCCGTCTACATGCCGCCACATTAGGTTAGAGTGGACCCATACTGTTTATTGACTGGACATAAAACAAATGTTCGTATAAGGAATGCAAGTCTGACTCATTACATATGATTAATACATCCATTATGTGCTTACCATTTAAGACTGTAGACCAGATTGGTGGCTGTTCGTGATTAATCATTGAGATTAGTGGAGAAAGATGGGTACCATATGACGGTGTTGACTATGATGATTCTGAGAGGTAGAATTATGTGTCTAACTTTAGAATAATCTAAAATGATAATAGTAATAATAATGACCTAATCATAGGAGACTCGTATTTCTGCATATTTTTATTATTGATTTTTATTTTACGTTTTTTTTTTCTTAAACGACAACCGATGTATTTTAAATTTTGCCGTGACTCGTTAGTGGTGTTGATTGGTGACGCTGACAGTTAAGCAATAATAAAAAAAATGCTTAATGAAAATCTAAGTATTGAGTACACAGGTAATATTGGATGTAACTTTAAATATTTTTTAAGGTCCTTGAACTCTAATGCCTTTTGTTTTCTTGCATCGCTTAATTGCCATTATTGATCGCCGTTTATAAAGAACTTCTCGTTTGTGAAAAAATATTTGAATTTGGAACGAAATGACCTTTGAAGGCAAAAGACAGGAAGGAAAGAAATGCTTTAACGTTACTCAGATCTCGTAATCTGACAAAATACAAAAACAAAATCAGATGATCAATCTAGATTTTTATCTGTAAAAAGGTGGGCTGATCACATTCGCGCGTTTCGTAGGTGTTTTCACAGGGATCTTTACCCGATATGGTTTTAGGTCAAATATGACTGGCCACTGATCATAAATTTAAATTTCGACACCCACAAAAACGAAAGATTATGTCATTGGCCGCCATTACTGAGATTTCACGGTTTTTTTTTTAAACGTGGGCCGGCGGCGCTTGGTAGCACCATAGAAGGCTAGATTTGAATATGGAATTCATTCAATTTTATATTGTTTTATTTTTTTAAAGGCAGCTGTTAATGAAATGGTATTCAATTTACTGAGGCTCTGTTAAAGAAAAATAATTATGTTTCCGTACTATGACATTTGTCTCTAAGATTCACAAGAACTGCTTCGTTTGTCGAATGAAAGATGGCGTGTTCGATTACCAGGCTAAATTAAATTGTCATGTGTTTGTCGTTTTGTACACTTTAAAGAAGACATTTTATCAAAATGTCCATTTTTCTATTTTATAACTTTTTTTATAGCATAAGCCGGTAAACGAGCAGACGGATCACCTGATGGTAAGCAATCGGCGTCGCCCATGTACACTCGAAACACCAAGGCGTTACAAGTGCGTTACCGGCCTTTTGGGAATTGTGAATTTGAGAATTGTGGAGGATTCGGGGATTCGGGAGACGAGGATTAGGGAAGGAGGTAACTGTCCGAAGAAAGCACACTGCCCAGAATTTTGCCCCGATTAATTACAAGATACATCACTTACACTTACAACGACCTCTATTAAGCATCTTCAGATAACAAAAGGGCATTTTAAACACTGTACGAGTATACACAGTGTCCTTATCACAAAGTACCGGAGACTTAAGCCTTATTCATCAGGTCAGGCGGTCAGTTGCAACATAGCACCATCGTGAGTCACAGATAACCAAGCTTTTGTTATAGAAACTCCATGGTATGTAAACACCTTTGTCCATACGTTACAACATCTTATTGTTTAGAACTTGAGTAATTGTTTAATATTTGATTAATTTATATAATTTTATTATGTAAGGTGTTTTTTTACTAATCCTTATCCTTACTAATATTATAAATCGGAAAGTGAGTTTGTTTGTTTGTTTGTTCCGCTTTCAGGCCGAAAATACTAAACCGATTGATTTGAATTTTTGCAGACGTAAAGTTATAAGTCCGGATTAAATAATAGGGTAATTTTTATCCCGAAAAAATGTGATATTCCCGAGGGAAAACAAAAGTATTGGTATAGATGGCGCTGTATGTATTGGTATGTATATGTCACATAGGCTACTTTTTATCCTTTTGTGACGCGAGCGAAGCCGCGGGTAAAAGCTAGTGTATCTGTATAAATAAAAAATAATTTCAGTTCGTTAGTCTCGCTAAAACTAGAGAACGGCTGAACCGATTTGGATAATTTTAGTCTTGAAATGTTCGTGGAAGTCCAGGGAAGGTTTAAAAGAAAGAAAGAGATAGAGTGAGAAAAAACATTTTTGGGCGGTGCGAAGTTTGCCTGGTCAACTAGTTCTTAACTAAAAATAATTGTTTACTCACGTAAATATATTGAGAATAGCTCTACTAGTTTCGAGTTACAGAGGGACTCTTCCTTATGAGCAGCATACGCGGTCACGGTGATGTAGTAGCCTACAGATTAGGCTGTTGTATTTGGTTCATTCAGTATGTGTCACGATATAATTATTATAATCTACTCATCCTTCTAATCTTTTTGCAACAGTTGACAGTTTACTGGTGGACTTTAGGTCTTCTCAACATAAGAAAGGTTTGTCAAAATCTAGACTTGACACTTGGGTTGGATATGGATACACTGACATACATATTATGTAGATTGTAGGTACCTGGTACATATCATCGCCTTTCAAACCAGCCTCATCGCCTTTCAATTATTTCTTGACCCATAACATCCTGTACAAGGAGTCCATTCAAAATTAAACATTACGTCACTATACATAAAGTTTTTTATTCAACTTTCACAATGTTCGTTTGTGAGTCAGTTACACACACATCAAGCTATACAAAACCAGTATAAACTGACCGTCGGATGTGCAGAAAGATCATACACAACGAGGTCATGATAAAATGGTTTTCATATTTTAACATGTAGCCGGGTGTACAGACTACAGAGCATAGTCTTTGTTCAGTAAAGTGATCATCAGCTAAAATTACTGATGTTATCTTCAAGGCAGAGATAGTATAATAAACAGGATCAAGATGGGAGCAAATTCATTATGATAATAAATGTGAATTTTGTTTGACCGCATTCATAATGTAAGTGACTGTACATTACACGAGAAAGTGGAATAATTACGTGTTCGGGTTTTTGAGAGGTTCTTTAAGATAAATAAGATATTAACGTTTATTCAAAGAAGTCGTTGAGTCATATAAATAACATGATAACATAACATCACGCCTTTTTTCCCCTAAAAGTTAGGCAGACGTTAGAACCCACTTTTCACAAGTAATGTTAAGGGTCCCATGCCTATTGTCAAACTCAAGTGAAACAAGTGAATTTATTGCTGCAAATAGGCTACAAGGCAGCACTTTTACACGTCAATTTTATCAA